AACTAAAATTACATGATACATTATATTGTCACTAATTCACAACCATAACGTGGACAACTAAGAAATACTTTTATACGTGAAATATAACCTCCAGTGATAATATATTTAGGATTAAGAGAAATAGATCTAGGGTATACTTGAAATAAATGTAAGGTATATATATATATTTCTTTGCTCCTGTGATAGGTTCGGATAAAAATATCACCGCACTTGTAAAAGTGGGTCACCAGACCGAGTGGAAGGTCCACATCTACAAACACAACACTCGACCTCAAGTACGTCTCGCCCGACACGACCTCTCTGTGCATACCAATATTTCTTTAGAAAATATATGAATCAATAATGATCGTTGTATTTTGGTGTAGTATAAATTATAGGTCAAAGAATTTTAACTATTATATTATTAAAACTTGTTATTTTTGTGTTTTTATTTTTATTTTCATAAAATATTTAACTTTCTCTACTTCAAAGAAGAAAAACTCACCAAATTGTATATTTACCTATATTTTCTTTATTTCTATTTAATGTTTGGTTCATAGTAATAAAACCTTTTAAGGGGAGTCCGAGGTGCTATCTTTAGTAATGTTAACTATATGTAACTTTTCTCAGGAGTTAGAACAGGTAGAATAGTGAAACTTGGTATACTTTTATATTAACTAATAAACTCGTCCCAGAGTTTAAACTCTGTCATGACTCGTCATTTAAAATAAAAAATAATTTTCTATGGGTTTTTGTAGATTTTAAAAATAGTTGTTCGAAAAATAAATTTAATTTTTTTTTTACAGGCTTTGACTAAAGATATGGTAAAATCCTTATGTCTGTGCTTAGAATAAGTCACTAAGACTACATGGTAATAATTTCACAGCTGTATGTATTACCAGTCCTGAAAAAAATGACATCAAAGTTCTAAAAAGTGAAGTTGCGGAAATCGGTAAGAAAAGCCTCCAAGGGTCCACGAGTTTTACCTTCACTGTAATGTTATGGAAAATATGTTTTTCATACATTTCTAGGTTAGTAATTAAAAAAAGTAAGTATACCATTTTAAAGAAGAAATTCTGTTCTATAAAAAGGGCATAAAAAGTAAAAATTGAAAAAAATTATAAAGTTTGACATTGACTCCCCTTAACATCCGCTTCAAATAAAGGAACAAGAATTTATTGTTATACATCAAAACGGTAAACAATATAAGCGGAAGTGAACTAGGTTATGTCGGAACTACCATAAATTGTGTGCTATTGTTTATATTTCTCTTACATTGCAGATGTATTTTATGATGTTATAACTGTTTAACATTTACAATGTTAGCTTTTGTAGATAAAGACCAAATTCTCTGTTTCTGCTTTTGATGGCTATACAGGGCAACACTATAAACATTTTCCTATATAAAATGCTTAAAAACTTTATTGTTTGGTAATGCAATCAACATTAATTTTATATAGGAAAATTTAGTTTTTAGTTTATTACTCAAATACTTAAAGAAATATATACTAGTAGTTCATCTTAACAAGACGCTTTAATTGATATGTTATTTCAAATATGTGTCATTTGTTTTGTTTTATTTACAGGGCTATAAGAATTACAAAAAAATAAAATGTGTGTAAAAATGATAGTTTTGATAATGAATACATGTCACACATAATTGTAAAACTTTGTTTACCAGAATTACGAACTATTAATCAGAACGGAAAATTTTTTAGTGATTTAGAAAATTCGGTGTATTACGTAGATACCGGATAAATTCAGAAAATGACCACCATTTCGAAACCAATTGAGATAAGTTCTGCTTTCACCAAAATGTTGCTCTAAGCAAGCCCTTTCTAAAATATATAATACAATAAAAAGGCGACGAAAGGAAATTTCAAGAATCATACCCGTGACCACCATTTCTAGACACCCTGTGCTTGGATCATGTTTTAAGTATTTTAAATGGATTCTTCGTGGGTCATTTAGGGGGAAATAATTAAAAAAAAAATAAGCGTACGGGTGGTCTGCCTCACCCTGTATTTAATAAGATGTTTCAGATGCATCATTTTGAAGAGCAAGTTTAAAGTCGTTGTAATGAAATCAATATAATATCAATGGTACCTTTTCTGGAAAGAAAAATATGCGTTATGTAGGTTGTAGTGTAAGACTCTAGCCAAATAGACCTCATGCTGAAAACACATCACCCTGTTGAGCACAGACATTTTTACTGTACATCAGGTCCAGTTTATCCTGCAAACTAACTATGGATTCTCTCCAACCCAGCTTAAACTTATGTTAAACTTTTGTTACCTAACCAAACCTAACCTAACCAAACCTAACCTAACCTGGCGTTTGATATTATGTTACGCTTTTGTCGCTTCCTGGTCATCATCTATCCTTTGTAATGAGAATACCCTTCATACCACAGGATGAACCAGAATTTGTGGTTTCATCCTATACCGTACTCGAGATAACAAGCCAACCAAGATGGGACCTGATTGACGTGGAGTATATAGGTGGGGCTCACAACTATAGCAGAACAGTCAGATGAGATGAACTTGTTCTTCCTTGACATGACTTTCCTTCATTCACGAACTAGTTTAGTCATTTAACTAGCAACTTGATATTTGATCGTAATGCAACGACAGTAAATAAACCATACTTTAAACTGTATCATTCCTCATTATTTTTCCAATTTACCATGTACTATGGCTCGAAATTTGACCGTCAATTTAAAATTACATGGTAAAAATATTGAATAAAACATTTATTGAATATAGATAATTGACCCCTAGATAATTTTTGAGTTTGAAATAGCTGTTGCTTTAATGATGTACACAAAAACTCTAATTACGGTACTTTCAATACACAAATGACCCACTTTTTACTTTAATTGATCCGCAAGTCAATTGGAATTGCTTTTCAGGATTACTTCATGCTTAAACGGCACCGACGATAGTCGTTAGAAAGATTATCCTTATAGCCTTTATATGTTTTAAGAAAACACGGTCTTAAAGTTAATCCCAAAAAAATTTAAACATTGGTGTTACAATTTACTTAAAGATCGATCTTAAAAAGACTAATATTAACGTTCACAAAAATAACCACTGCTTATTATAAAAAAAATACCTACAAGTTTTGCACCAACTACTATTCAAGTATCCTCGTTGTCTTACCTGATTTAGTCCTGGGATGTCCAAAGCAGCATTCAGTGGTTAAGTTTGCGTCCAAAACCACTGCCCAACTCCAGCGGTCAAACTTAAGTTCATCGCTAGTAACTTTATAGCACACTCCTTGCGGATTCTTGTTAACTATGCGAAGCTTATAACAGAATATATATACGTATATTAGCTTATATTAGAATTACATTATCAGTAAAATAAAGTCAATACTTGATAATGGTTCAACATTCGCGTCCCAGTCTGTAAAACCGTGGGGTCTTTATTATAAATTAATTCTTTTTTAGAAAACCCTAAGCCTTTCTACAAAACAAAGAGAATAATTTATTTTTAAAGTACGCTTTTATAGTAATTTTCACACAGTTTGAAATGTGCATAAAGCGTTGTCTATGGCAAACAAGAGTAATCTAGGATAACCACTAGACTGAATATAATGGAATTCCATAATTGCAATAGAACACACATAATATTGGCGATGTGTGTTCTGGTATATTAGAGGTTTTCTGGAATGATGCATACTGCTGTCGACTAACTAATATCTGGATTATTAGTTCTAGTTGTTCTGAACCACAAGAAATTAATTGTTCGATAAATCGTCTCTGCTTCTAATTAAACTAATGCATTAAGTCCAAATGAACAAAAACGTAAACGCTCTCATATTTGAGTCATATTATTTGGGTCATAAATTATAATTTGCCAAACATTGAGGTTGTTCATTGTTTTTTACCATGCACTCCTCTTCTCCAAGTAATATATTTGTTGCCAACTGTCCTTATTCCATGACGGTCAAGAGTGCAACTGCGCTAGTCACTAGTCGAAGGGGTCGCAGCAGGAATTTAAGACGAACGTCTCGAGCCGTAACATCTCACATCAGTCGCCGCATAGAAATTGGCCATGAAGTATTGTATATGCTGAGGAATATTTTTACTCAGCCTTACTTTATGGTTAAGTTTATTATAAACGATGTAGTATTTTCAAAACAAAATATGTTAGATAATAACGACAAATGGTATGATGCCAAACGAGGTGAAATATCTATTCCAGCTTAGCGTTGTTTGGAAAAGCATTATTTTCATTTTACGGTCACAGATTTGTTTTATAATTTATGATACAAGCGACTAGCCAATAATAATTGTCGTTGAATGAATTGTACAGAGAAATAATGTTTAGTTTTATATTCACATCACCAATTATAATTTGTAGCGTACTTCAAAACGATTTATTGAAAAGTGGTCAAATGTTACATAATGTAATTCTTTAACAAATATTTAAACATACACAACAAAATAAACTACTCTCCAACAAAACCATTATGGTTTAATTAGAAGCGCGTGAATCGTAAAAATCTTAAATAATATACTATTTTTTTCTTATGAAATGTGTTACTCTTCGCCATAGCTATAAACAGAAAAACATTGTATTGCACTACTAATAAATTTATGGAAATTGCTATACATATACCAATACTTATTTGGCAATTATTATTTCATGTTGTGGAGTGAACATAAATAATCTTTTGAACTTTAGGACTTGCATTTAAGGATTATTGTTTTTCTAGCTATACGACGTTACCCATTAATCTTAGCCAGGCTGCTAACAAAGTATTCCGATAGTTTCTTAGGTCAGCTTTCTTAGTAGATTTAGTCATGAAACTACATAAATATTCATAGATAAGAAATAACTTTGTATTAAACTAATGAAAACTTGTCGTGTAAAATACTTATACAAAATTTTACGGATTTCTATAAAGGTTAGTCGATAACACTCTAAATTTCATAAATCAACTTTAGGATTAAAAAGCGTGCAATGTGGTCAACAAGTTATAATAAATATTGTATCCATGGATACACTAGTATAACATCAGACAAAATTGCAGTAACACACACAACACATTGTACCAACACATTGATTGTAAGATGACCAGTACAACTCCAGACCATGATGTGGCGAGGTGTCACGCCGCAGCTGAGAATCGTCGTCAGCTGTTGTGTCGGCTGAGGTGTCTAGCAGACAGACTGGACGAGTGTGACAGAACCGCTTTGAGCGCCGCGGGGTGCGGGGACTTGTTCAATAAGGGCAAGGGTGGACGGTACGTCTTTCCGGACCCAGCTGACACTCCACTCATTACCTTCCCAGAGAACCTCCAGCCTGACAACGACTACAAGATCAAACTACCGAAGAAGACAGCTCCCTGGGAACCGCATGTGGGTAAGATGAACTGTTTCGTTTATGAAACCTGAGAACTCTAATTTAAGATACAATCTGTAACATACAAACAGTAGTCAGTAACGTTATCATGTGAAATTATATTTACGTTAATCAACAAACTGTTCAAGCAATGGGTGAATCGCTCAAAATGTTATGAAACAAACTCGCATAGTATGGCAATTTAATCTTAATTCTCCGAGGAACATTTAAGTAGAATTCGTGTTAGCAGTATTGTATTATTCAATATTTGCCTCTGTTGTATGATGCAAATATAAGCGTTTTATTGAATACAAGTTTATATAGTATTTATTTTCCTCAGTTATTTCAAATTGAAAGTAATGTGTAATCGGAGAGTAAAAAGGTAGGCAGAGCTGGGTAATACTTCTTACATTGTAATTGATTTATTAGAAATATAGAATTTGTAATAAAATTAGTTATCATCAAGTCTTACAGATGTTTTTAACCAAAAATACTGTTTTTTCCTATGAAAGGGGTGGTTAATGTACTACTGAGGACATTTTTAATTTTAAAACAAGTATGCATTGTTGGAAAACAAAAGGTTTCATCAGTAGTACACCAAACACCCTTTTCATCTAAAGCAATGGATTCAATATTGTTCTTTTCTTTAAAGGCTAATGGGCATTAAAGTCTTAAATAGAAAACAGTTTTATACTCATTGTGTTTAAGCTTTTTTGATTTATTAGAAAGTGCTTTGTTTCATAGAATTTGACGTTTTAACGTTTTTAATGCACTCTAAATCGTACCCAACTGGTTACAGCAAAGAGTCAGGAGCTGATTGCCGGCTACATGAAGAAGGCTTGTGACTGCCTGCGCAGGAACGGTCTGCAGGACCAGTGTGAGCTGACTCAATGTCAAGGACGTCCCCTGTGTCTGACTACCCCTGTCCCACTGTGTCCTCCCAGTGGAGGCGCGGGACTGATGGTAACCCCTGCAGAGGCTGGGGTCATCATAGACCACGTTGATAAGGACCGCTGTTGTCGCCTTGACTGCTGCCCTGGCATGCTTAGCAACTGTTGACGTCATCAAACTTTAATATATACAAATAAATACAATCTTTACGATCTATTTACAGCCGTACTTCTTTATTGGGTAGTCAATGATCCTTAAGTAGATATATTAAGTAGTTATATTATCTGTTAACAGATTCATTGTTACAGGAAAACACAATATTGCTTTGTGACAAATTATTTAGTTGAGTACATTAGTGGTGAAAACTATAGAATCAACAAGAACACGTTTCCTTTTAAAGTAAATTATTACATTTCGTTAATGTAATATTCAATGAATGGAGAGTTTTAGTATATTCTTGCATTCAAGATATAGTTTATGAAAACGTACATTCTACAAATATACATAAACTATGTGGAACAATGTAACAACGACATTCACGGACTTTTCATTTAGTTATCATTGTCTAAAGGAATTGGTGAATTTAACTTAAGTTCAACACAGTTGTAATATTAGCAGAAGACATATCGCATCCCCTGAAGGGTGAACAACACTAGTCCTAATTGGTGGTTTCCATCTACAAACCCAGCCACTTGCACCTAAGAGGCCCTGGAGGCGAGTCTTTGTATTCTCAATCCACAGACTTTATGAGAATACATTTACCCTTGCAATATAACATTATCAACAGTAAACTGTGTGCTATATTTTATAAAATTATAATTTATAAAAAAAACATTTGCTATAAAAATCTCTATATTCATACTTTCATATATATTCATACATTCGAGAACATTCATAATTTTTATTCAAGAGTATAATAGTGCGTCTTGTAAAAAAGTAAGATATACATTTTTGTCATTCTAATTCTTAACATTATTAGTAAGGTAATTTAAAAACTTACATATTTGTCATCAAATTAGTATGGATCTAAAGATTAGAAATCATGTTAGTCGCATAAAGTAACAATTGATAAACAAATCTTTTTTTTTTTCTTCTGTTTTAACAATGCCCTAAGTGTGCCAACAGGTTTTATTTCCTGGAAATCGAACATAGATTTCTACGATTATTTTGATGATTAAGCCTTGTCTTTACTCAAGTTTAATAACTAGTTCACTATAAAACTAACGATAAAGAGGAATATTAAGTACCGTATTAATAAACTCATGTCTTTGTTAGCGAATTTCTCATGTAATGAATAAGGCTTTTACCATAGGTATCATGGTAAGACATGGAACTGGGGTCGAATTAGTTTTTTTTCGTTTTGATATCACCAAGTGGCCAAAACCCCAACTGTTGATATTTAATCTATTATCATAATACTCCACAAAAGTAAATAAAAATACTGTTTCTACTTTAGAAAATTAAGTTTATGGTTATGTTTAGAATGGAAAAAACATGTTTGAAATTTAATACTGTATCTGTTATGATGCTTTAACTCAAAACCACCGATTAAAAATACTTTCAATGTAAAACAACTCACCAGCTTTAGATATTTACACATGCATTATCAATAATAAAATTATTCTACGTTTTACTATATGATATAAAAGAGAAGTAATATATCTTTGTGGATCTTAAATTACATATGCATGACATTTTTATGCCGCAATATAAAGGCCGATAGTATAGCATTGGCGTATAATACTGCATATATTTTCTTTATTGAGAGGATCTACTGCTTTATATAGGTTTGCACTTAAACCTAGTAAATATTTTCATAAAATTTAAAGAGTACCTTTTAGTATCTAAAGTGAAGATAATCCCTTTGTAATTGACAACTTAATCAGGTTATAATCCAAACTTACTGATTCTATATCTAATTGCACTTTAATTATTCAGTTTAAAATTATGTACCAGGGACCCGATCTGCTTTTCTTGTCCCCAAACAGTTTATCTTGTAAACTGAGAGTGTTTTTCGAGAATAAATTTATAAAATTACCAAATAATATTTTTTTACGAAACATCATAAAATATGTACAATATGCATTGGTAACCTTTAAAAATCTATATTTATCATTAAAGCAATTATAGTATTATGGAAATTATAGAATTATGTCATATGACTGGAATATTCTGAAGAAGAATAACGTTCAACTAAGTAATCAATTTTTTAAAAAGTAGGTTGTTGTCATAAACATCAGTTGTACTTTACACACCTGAAAACGAATTCCAAATGTATCTGTATGTAAATATGTCAAACGAAACACAGAGACAAGCTGGCGTTTCAAGGCGAATTCGATCACCATTTTAAAGGCAAATGACAAAAGCGAATGTCATTTGTCTGCGCTCTTCTTTGGGTTAAGTGATTGGTTCTCACATAGTAGTCATTTACCTGTGCTTTCCATAAATACAAGTGAAAAATAATATTTACAAATTAATATTAATTTTTAGATGTTATTTAAGAATTTTTGTATATTCGTATGTCATGAATTAAACATATTAGGTTTGTATTTTGTATAATTTCTTTCAACCTTCTTTAATTGTTATATTTGCTATTTTACAAGACCTGTATGAGTTGAAATATTCCTACATGCATTTATGAGTATAATAGATATTATGCAGTACTAAAGTCAGTGTGCATAGGGTTTGTTTAACTAAGTTGTTTGATTACGTGTGTTACACAGTTAATTGATTTTTGCAATAGGGAGTCAAGTTAACTAGGGATTTATATACGAATAAACCTTGAGGATAACATTGTGACATAAGTCCTACAAATTCATTCAAAATAGATTAACTAAAATTCGAAGAGCACAAAAAAGGTTTTCCCCCATTTTTTTTTTTTTTAGTTTCAATGTATTTGTAATTCATGGCAACACTTTGTACATTGTTTTACTTTAGCATAAAACGGTTGGTTCTAATTTAATTTATGGGAATTCCATATATATATATATATACATAGTAGTTAATAGCTAGCAGTGGCTGCTTAGACTATATACAGGTATTGCGTTTGAAGTTCAAGCCAGTAAACATGTACCTTTGCCTAAAAACTAATTTCCAGGAATCAACTGTTGAGTTTGGTCAGCATTTTTGTTACTCCACCTAACTTTAGAATGATTATAATGGATTTGTTGTTCAACATGACTTATATAATAATTGGACCTATTTAATACTGTATTTTTAAATAACTTTTTTACTTTTTTTTTTTTTTTTTTTTTTTTTTTTAAAGAGGTTGGCGGCCTCTTTTAACCTTGCATTTGCCCGTCCACATAGACTACAGATCTGTGCGTGGAACGTATCCAGCAAAGCAAGGGGTGAGCCGGTACAGTACAAAGGTGAACCGTACTGATAAAAGTTAGTGGCAGTGACCAGGATCCGACCCACGACACTTCTGCCTTGGGCCCGAAGTCCGCGACGCTACCGACTGAGCCACCGACTCACCAAACTTCAAACGAGCTTCAAACGAGCTCACTTCAAACGAGCTTGATAAGAAACCTTCATGGTATATGTTGTTTTAAAGTATCTTCCCCATAATATCAAGCACAAGTTTGGATTAGAGCTGTTGGTTTAATGTATTTCACTATTAGTTCAAATTGAGTATTGCCAGTGACAAATGAATATCACAGTTTTAAGTCAATGAATACATAAATGAATATATTTTACAATCTTATTGTAGGGTTTTATTTTTTCGCCCACACAACGGCAATGTTAATGTTATTTAATAACTATACGTAATATACTTGTCCAATTCAAGTTAGTTGGAGCTTGCAAAAATTTAGTTATTTTAATAATTATATAACATTTATGTATCGAAAACTCGACCAAAAGTATGTACTGTGCAAACTTGTCTATTTTCACCCGACGCTGTAAATAAAACATGTGATTAAAATTCATTCCATTTGCTTAGATTTTCTGTTTATATTTTGTTGTTATTTCGTCACTAACAAGGTAACCTATAAGACCCATGTAATTTTTTTTAATTTTAAATCAATTTTTGTGCTTGCTTTTTTGAAAATTTTAATTTATAAAGGGATTTTGCACATCTACAGGAAAACATCTTTCTTTTAGCACCAAAGGAGTGTAATTTGGTCCAGTAGTATAGCCAGGCTAGCTGTCATAAGTTTTGCAACAGTTTTTTTGATAGGCTATATAAGATTTATCTTACAAATGTAACAAAAGAATTTACAGTCAATTGAGGGATTGCATTAGTCTCAGTGGTGTATACAATTCTTTGAGAAACTGAATAGAGTTTCCAATGAATACGTTTCCAATATAACAAGGTTCGTAAGATATAACTACCATTGACCTGAGAGGGATGATCCAAAGTTCCAAAGTGCTTGTTATAGGCTGACAGAAATACTAATACGTCCATTGAAAAATCGCAATTTTAACAGGACCAAAATTAGGAAAGGATTACGATTACCAATTCACTAAGTAAAGCTACAGTGAATAAGTTATCCTCTAACTATAAAATTTATTATTTAAAGATTAAATAAACCTTTAATTCATAAATCTATATTCATTCTAATATTTGTCCAATAGAAAAAATACTTATATCGTGTGAGCAAAATTTAACTATTTTAGTATTGCAATAATTGTGTGTAGGAAGTAATTTAAAAGAAGATGTAATCGGCAATTAAAATGACTGGACGTTTTTCATTCCAAAAGCAGATTTCAGCAGTTGTCATTATTTCTGTTGATGTCCTTTCTTGCATTGACCAAGATAAAGGACCTACGTGGAGATGAGTAGCTTATTCAAATAAAATATAACCATTACATTCGTATAGGATAAGTAGTAATAAGGCGGATTTAAGATAGAGTTGTGAAACAATAATATCATTTTCCTAGGATATGATATAGGAAACGAAAAAATACATTATCGCCAAACCCTCATCCTTTTTTCAAATGTTTCAAATTTATGGCCCTGGATTATAAACATTTATTATACAAACAGCTATTATAAATTCTGAGAACTGAACAAAAGGGTACATTTCGAAAAACAGCTTAAAGATCTTATTTAGAGAAATAATTGTTATTTACTAAGCAAGTCACGTACTCGGCCTCTGACATTTGCCGTATCTACTTGAAATACACTTCCTGTTATTTCAAGTTCGAAATAGGCCTACGTTTCAGTGTTTGGGGAAAGCTACAAGATGTCAACTGAATAAT